CATGTATTCTCATTCATCATTTCGTAATGTCCACTTCACTTATACTATTAACCGCCTTAAAGGGGAAGTGCATCGATTTTTCAAGTAGGGCTCAGATGAAAGACAATTGGATATCGGTTCCGATGGTATATCTCTCGCTTGCGTACGGCAAGGGAAACTTGCCATATCGCCGATTTCCTGATCCCGTTTCCATGGCGACTACAGGTGATGACGCACATTCTGCTTAGCTCCGTGAGAGAGAAGGTCGATCACTGAAGAATTGTGTCATTTTCAGTTGTCTTCTTGTATTCACGAAGTGAAAGAAGTGCTGTGTTCAAGGCTGTTAGTGCCGTGAACTGTTTATTAGTAGTCCTCTCCGCTGTGTACTGGGACGTGACACCGACAGGGGAAAGCTGGGAGTGCGAAGACGTTAGCTGGCAAGCGAAAATCGTGACGAACCAAGTGCTGAAATCTTGGTTGGGACAAATCAAACGTTCAGCATTTACCTCAACCAAGGACCATGCCGTTTGCTCTTTCCACTTCCTGAAGATGGATGCGCTGCCTGCTGGAGACTCTCCTATCTCTCGTAACATCTTCTGAAGCCAGGTGAGACGACGAGTAGCGGAGATTACCGAACGAAATAATGTCGTATGTTTTGAAATTTTTGCTGAACATTTCTCAGGAGAGATGGCGAATACCAAGCATCTTCTTCAGTCTAGAGAAACCATTTCGTAGGCTACATTCCGCCTAGGGAAATGCAGGAGATGGCCTGGCTGGGGAGGACACACTTCAGTTATGCAATGGATGAGAAGTAGGAGCTCCTCTTCATCCAACATTCCATTCTCGTGCTCAAGAAGGAACAGAGATAAAAGCATTTTGAATTTTTGATGATTGAGTCAGATCCTGGCTATAGCATACAATTACAGACCGGTCGTAGCTTGAGTGATCATGGAGTGGAGATAGGAGGAAATCAAAAAACCAGCGTGGGGAATAGAAGGGTGCAAAGTTCAGGTCATGAACTGCGCACCGCCGGTGAGAAATATGTTGCTACGACAACAACGCAACGAAATGTGGACATGCGAGCGAAACGAAAAATTTACGAAACTTCGGTACGTAATCCAGACCAAAGGAAAATTAACGAAAATCGTTAGCGAAAGGTCCGTACTGGCTGTAGACTGATCCCCTCCAGAACAGTGTACGGCACGTTGTACGCATATCTGACAGTTGCTGAGCATGACGAAAGAAATGTTCTGGAAAACGATTTCTGGCTCGAGCATGTAACAGCACGAGAATGGAAGTTCAAGAACCCACCCCTCCCCAAGAAATCATAAACTGAGATGTTGAATCCACACGCACCCATCTTTTTTCCCACATCACCACACGCTTTTACTCTTAACCCAAATGCAGCCCCGTTCTCTCCCGGCCGACAATCGCAAGTGACCGCACTGAACCCTCTTGCTCCACCATTCCAACCGTCCCCTTTGACTTTCAACTTTTCACCTTGTATTCCTGATATGAAGTCTCCGTCGAGTATCAGGATCTGCACAGTTAACGCCTGCAGCTGGCTGAAGCGGGCTGATGAGATTAAAAACTTATTCTGCACATCTCAACTAGATATCTTGGGCATAACTGAAACCTGGTTGACTCCTGATATCACAAGTTCAATATTAACACCGTCAGCTGAATACAAAATTATCCGGCATGACCGTCACAACAATACCGTGCGACGTGGAGGTGGAGTGGCATTCCTCCTCCACCCTTCCATTTCCCATACTACCAAACATCGTCCAGATCTTCAGCCTGCTGATCCAACCATTGAAATTGTGTGCATAGAACTAGAGCATCGCCCCAACTCCACGTTTGTGTTTCTGTTGTTACCGTCTCCTTGGCAGCCACCTGATCAGTTCTGCAGCGCACTCCGGACCTGCATTCAATCAATATCTTGTCCTCAAGCTTCCATATTTGTCATTGGCGACTTTAACGCTCGCCTCTCGAAATGGCTAGCATCCGATCCTGATACACCTGCTGGTACATGCATGTATGACACCCTGGATGATCTGGGCTTATCGCAACTTGTGGATCAACAGCCTACCCGCTACTCCGCAAGTGGTAAGAGTTCATCACTACTCGACCTAGTTATCACTAATGCTCCAATAGCAGTCTCCCATCTCACCATCCTCCCACCGGTATCTGATCACTGTCCTGTAGTTTTCCGATGTCGTCCACAACCGATCAGCAGGCTCCACAGCCCAAATATCTTCTGCACAAAACACCTGGCTCGACTTTGCCCACACGGACTGGCAAGCATTTAACAACCACGTGTGGCAACTACCCTTGCTAGATGCCGTCCAAAATGCGCAAACAGTTGATGAGGCCTGGTCATTGTGGCGCACAGCGCTGGAAGACTCTGTATCGTTGTTTGTTCCCGTTGTCCGGAGAAGCACATTTCCATCGAACAAGCCTTGGTACTCTGCTGTTCACCATCGTCAGAGGCGGCTTCGGGATCGCCTCTTCGCCAAGGCCAAACGTCTCGGCTCTACAGATAGTTGGATAGCGTATAGACTCTCACGTAACTGTCTTACTTCCTTGGCTCCGGAAGGCGAAACGCCATTATCACGAGAGGATGGCGAGAGACATGACTCAGCATCATGGAACCCGTACATGGTGGCGCAAAGCAAAGATCCTTTGTAATGTGAATCGCCCGTCTCCGGTTATCCCTGACCTCTACCATGACAACCAAGCCTACCCAGCCACGAGTAATACGGAAAAGACGAATCTCCTAGCCAAAGTGTTTGCGAGCTACAGCCAGGCGCCACTGCTAACACCTGACCTGCACTCAGCTGGTATTTTAACACCCACGTCCACTGTGAAGTTCTCCATACAACCATTCTCTGTGCAGTCCGTATTTGACACGCTCTCCAGACTTCCCATTCAACGTAAAACCGCTGGACTGCTGAACAATCGCATCCTCCGTGAAACAGCTGAGGTCAAGTCACAGTCTCTTTCCGCCCTTTTCAACCGCTGCTTGCTGTCCAGTACTCAGCCCAGGCAGTGGAAATCTGCCGTTGTTGTACCTGTGTTCAAGGGAAAAGGTAATCCTTCTCACCCAGTCAATTACCGTCCTATATCGCTGTTAAATGCAGTTGCCAAATTGTATGAGTCTATGATTAGCCGTCAGTTTTACTCGTTTGTTGAGAGCCATAAAATTATCAGTTCCAGCCAGTTTGGCTTTTGTCGAAAGAGGTCAACAGTTGACCAATTGGTACAGCTTACCTCAATTGTTTCGCGTGCATTTGACTCTAAGTCTTCTTGTGACCAGCTGTTCCTTGATTTTTCTAAGGCCTTTGACAGAGTTAGTCATCATTTAGTTATTCAATCTGTTTCAGGTTGGTGTTCTCTTTCTGCCTGTTCTTGGGTGAAGGACTTCATCAGTGATCGTAGTATTTGCGTTCGCATTGGCCAAACTCTTTCTGACCCTTTGCCCATCACCGCTGGCGTACCCCAAGGTTCCCATCTCGGCCCGCTTCTTTTTAACCTGTGCATCAACTCCTTTCCTGATGCCCCTGCTTCTAGTACCCTATCCCTTTTTGCTGATGACTCTAATTTAATTCTTGTTTCTCCAGCAAACACCTCATTTCCTATCCATCATGCATTGCTCCAGACTGACATTGATAAGTG